ATAAAATTATTTCATCATTAATAGTTATTTCTAATGCTTGTTTGCATACTAGGTCACAGCAAATCAGTTCAGCTCACTGACTGGGTGACTAAAATTTTATTAAGGGAAAAAAAATCTTGGGATTTCAAGATGCCAATTAGGTCTACTTTGGGTGAAGAACAAATGAGACCCATTTAATCTAATTTGTTTTAAACTTTGTGTAAAAGAGTGAAAAACGCTGTCTTACTGACTTCGGTTTGCCATTCAAAAAAACTTTACAAATGTTTTCTCTGTTTTTCAGTATTGATCCAACTCCACAAATAAAGACATGGGGTCTTTAGACATTGTTATTTAACAAGGTTTATCTCTGTAATAGCATCCTTCTGTCCAAGGCAAGATAATAGTACTATTTCCGTCACTTCAGTTAAGACTGTGTCAATATTTTCATTAGAAGCCTGCATTTTACAGACTAAAACTGTACCACAGCCAAGGAAATTCACGTAAGGTTAAAATTAAGAAAGCAACATTTGAAATCCAGTGGAAAAGAAAGAAAGAAAGTGTGCTCATTCCTAAGCTTTGAGGAGAGAAGTTAATGATCCTGAGGCCTTTTTGCGTGTATCCTTCAAACCTAGCTCCCCTTCTACAGCTCCTGGCATTTTATAGCTTAGCACTCCATATCCCTCGCTGATGATATGTTAGCTGTGAGTGGAAGGTTGTAGAAACTGAATTAGTTTAATTTAAGAAACTAGCTACTATATACACTCAAGGTCTGATTGCAGTCAGGAATCCTTTCTTTTTTGTATGTAACGAAAATATATTTGTACAGGTATCCGGTGTGGATTGATGTACTGTAGGTTTTTCAAAGTAGTTATACGAAAGTTGTTTTCTGCCATGTTAGCATTCTCTGATGAGTGCAGTGGGCTGTAAATCTTGTGAATTTCTGTACTTGCTTAGTGATTCAGGTTTTAAAGAAAAGCATAATCTCAAGACAGTGTATAAACTTGGGACAGCGAAGCTGGAGAAATAGGAACAGTCCTCTGCTCCTCAAACAGGCAAAATTTCCTTTGATTTCAGTCTGACTGAAGAACTTATCACAGCATGTGTGGTTTGACAATTATTATAATTAAGATTGCAGAATCACATTAATAAAAGCTGTCTTTCTGGGGTGTATCGGTCACTTAAAAGAAGCTCAAGAATATTGAATCCTTTGAATCGGCATGTGTAGGTCAGGGTCACGAATTTTATAGTGAGTTTTTAAAATTCATTTTATATGCTAAGAAAGAAAACGCAACAGAAACCACAAAAATTGTATACATATATATCCCCCATGTTTCATAAAGTTCATATCAATTCACAAGAAAATATGGAGAAAGAAAACAGATTCGCTTTGTAAATGTAGTAATATCTTAGGAGAAAAATTTACAGAGGTATTGTAAACAAATGAAATACAGACCATTTGAATTGCTTGAGAAGGAACACTTAAGCACAGTGGATTTAATGATCACTTTGATGCTAATGGAAAATTCAGTCCTTGAAATTTTGAAGTGTAGTTTATGAAAGTGCTGCCGTTTCTCCAAGCCTCAGTCATGTACACATTTTTTTATTAGATTCCTCTCTTTTGGTGAGATGTGAAGAATGGGAACACTAACATTATCTTAACAAAGTCCTTCCCTAACTAAATTTTGAGTGAGCAGAACAGTGAGTAGGACTACATGAGTATTATTTGTCTGTTCTGTGAAGAACAGGGTATCCTATATATGTCATTTTGGAAGACCAGCCAAAAAGAAGATGCCAGAACTCTAAACAGTCAGGGCTTTGCAACAGTATAATAAAATATAACAACAGGATAAAAAAAAAATCCAGTGAGGAAAAAGTCCTGAATTTGTAGGTGATATAATCAGATCTTTGAAAACCCCAGTGTATTTAGTGGAGGATTTATTCTTTGACTGCTGGACCAACCCCAGTTAACTCTTCTGTTACGCTCATCAATGTTTATGGAGAACTGCCAATGCACACAATCTTATACAAAATACAGGACAAGACTTGGTCTCGGTCTTGTCATATCTTTCAAGAAAGAAATAGATGGAAATTATGGTATAAATTCCAATATAAAGAACAGGTGTTTATAATTTTAACTTCAAGAGAGTAAATTCAGTCTTTTTTTACTCCCTGGTTGCTTGACAGAATCATAATTGCAGTTTCCTTGAAGATTATTTTTTAAATTTGTTTTTGAAAGTGTGGTATTTGCAACTCTGACAGGTTGATTTTTATCAAAATTAACATAAATTTTCAATTTTAATTCTTTAATATAAAATTACTTTTCCTTGTATATTTTTTTGCTTTACTTTTAAATCATATTCAGCCTTTTCAATCTTATGCTTAGTAATTCCTATCCGACATCTCAGATTCATATTTCTTGTTCAATATGCATGTCTTAAATTATTATAACTGGTTACAACTATATACAAGTCTCAATTTAAAATATCATGATGATTAATAAAGCTTTACAATTACACCTTGTGTAATTAATGGTCTGCAAGTATGAACACGGTGAATAACATTTCCACAGCAGATTAATTTGATGCAAGTTGACTGAGTCTTCAAATCTAAAACGGGTTGAGTTATTACTGTGCTGCATCAGCATTTATTGACTTTAAGGTACAGTGTTAGCATTCACTTATCACTGCATGTTTTTCCCTGTTGTACATTAAAAGAGCTTGCCCTCATCTGTCACGATCTTATACTGCGTAAATCATATAAAATGGTTACCTGTTTCAGTGATTTATTTCATTTTTATGTTAATTATACTGAAACATGGGATTGTTTAATAAAAATGTTGAAGCTAATCTATATTGGTCATCAATATTTCTTATGCATGTTACGTGGTGGAATGTGTGATAAACTACAATATCCAACATGTATGGAAGGGCATTTTAAAGTGAATTAGGATTTAGACTCACTTAGAACTGACATGCATTTTAATTTTACAGAGGCCAAACAAAACCTGGTATTCACACGGTATTTTTTCATAAGTTAATGGTGTGTATTAATCACAATCACTAGAAAAAATCAAGCATCTCAGACCCAGTTTTCACAGTTTAGAAACATAAGATATCCTTCAGCTTCTCAAAATTACTTTCTTAAGGCTTCCCAACAAAACGAGACAAATATTAGAAACTTCCCAGTCAAGGTAAGACACTCAGTGGAAACTTGTGTTCTTCCAGAGAGGATTTTTGCCTGGGGAAGCGCAGCAGGATCAGGTTAGGACATATTTGACACTGAGCCTTCAAAGACCTCTACTCAGACACTGCAAGAAGACCTCTTGAAATCAAAGATGTTTTGTGAAATCAGAGGCTAGGTCCCATATAAATAGTCCTCAGGCCCACTGATTGAATGGTCTGTGATATATTTACTAGGGGTATTTCTCAGGACACGTGAGGGAAATTTTTTCAGGATCAGGGCCTTGAGTAATGCTTAAGAGATCGTAACATTTCCTATTTTCCTTCATAACGTTGCCATTGTAAATTCAGCTGACTCCAGATACTCTGGGTAAACTGAGGCATTCAATGATAACTTAAAAGTAATACACAGATAATATGTAACTTTTTCTTAAGGATGAGGAAGAGATTTTTAAAAACTATAGATTTAATTTTTTTTCTCATCTGCTATTTTCAACAAGCAAACGTATTCAAAGTTGTGGACATATGTTACTCTTAAGGAAAAAGATCTCAGAATTATCACCTCCTTATCTGCCAAATAATTAATGAAAAGTAATTTTATTATTATGACAACTAAACTCTAGGGTGTCATTTTCTTAAACATGTGAGTTGTCGAAGATTCTAATGTTTGAAAACATTTTTAATTCTGCAGCAAGGATTAAAGTTGTGGTAGACATAAAAGTTACAGAATGTGTATGATAATCTGAAGGTATATTGGAGCATGTGCTGTTATTTAAAAAGTTTCCACAGAAAGTATTGTCCTGGAAACAAGAGTTCATCAGACTCTGTACCAGTTTATTGAGAAACATTAAGTTTTCAATTAAATCTCTTGCTATTCAGATCAAATGAGAAAAAGCTTTTTAGCCAACTTTATGAGTCCTGAAGCGTTTAAAATACTTATAAAAATAGAAATACATTTCATGAATTATTTGCAGCTTTCTTAATGAGATTTCAGTTGCCTACTATTAAAGAAATCTGTAACTGCTTTTTTAACCACAACGTAACTAGTAACTGTGTTTATTATACTCAGAAGCCAATATAAGTTAGTTTTATCAGGTTTTGTATCTGAATTGATATAATTTTCAAAAGCATTCTTTGCTTGCATGTTTCTGGTTTTTAATACTTTACTTGTTATTTAATTTTTTTATGACAGAAAATAAGAACCTTTGCAGACTCCGAGCACCATGGCAGTATAATAAAACACAGTCTGTGGTTATTAACTAGAAATAGCAAAGAAGCAGTGACAGATTATTTAAAATCCAACCATCCAGCTGAAAAAGATAACAAAACTGACTCTCACCAACAGAAAAAAATCACCTAAATAACCTAGAGAATTTTTTTTTTTCTAAAATGGCTTAATTTTCGCTTTTCATAACATTCTAGGCTTTAATATATTAACAACTGATGTTTGTTCATGCCTGAGCTTTAAGCAAAACAGTGAAGGAAATAACTGAGCAATAGGCATAAGTGTTTGAATTTTTTTAGATTTTTTAAAAACAAGGAGTTAGTTGGCCTAAGGCTACAATTTTCATTACATCAATGAAAGAAAGAAAACAGAAGCCAGCAGAGGGGAGTTATAGAAACTGACTTTACATAAACAGTGAGAAAAATCTTTTTCCATGGCCACCTACAATGTAGCTACTTTACCATCAGTACAACTTTTCTGTTGCCAGTGGCACAGCAGCCTGGACCCAATCCTGCCGGTTTAGAACAGGTTACGGTCCAGCCGGGAGGTTTGCCCCTTGCAAGATCAGGCTAACAGTTTGTCAAAGGGAAGAGAAACAAAAAAATTTTTCCACGTACCTAAATTGACAAAGCTCATGACCATGTCAGCATCATTCAGAAAGTTGGTGTCGTGCAGGCTGGCTAAAGGAGGATTCTGTGTGGTCAGGGGGGTCATGCGAGATAATTGTATTCTCCGTGAATATCCGTTTGGAGAGGCAGGGTATCCTTTCCGTGTCCCTCTGCTCTCCCCTGCCATTGATCCCTTCAGTGAATACTCCAGCTCCTCAGTATCCTCTTCATTTGTCATGGCATTATACAGGTCCAGCATGAAGAGGGGTGCAGAAGAAGCCTGCTTTCCTGGTGAAAACGGTCTGGGTCTGTGAGGTAAACCCAGGATAGAGAGAATCTCTCTCTGAATCTCCCTTCTCTCATGGTTCCGCAGCCTCCTGTAAATAAAACTCGAATGGACATGATTGTCTCCTAAACCTCCCTGTGCGTGACCCACCAGAACCCAGCAATTCCAGAGCAAGCCCACGAAAGCTTTGAGTGCAGTTAGGTTCATCTTTGAAAAGAAAAAGAACAAGGCAAAAAAAAAAAATTTAAAAATCTTTTCTCCTACTTGTTCTGAGTTCCTATGAGGTCTGCTTTCCCAGTGGCTGAAAAACAAAATTTACCTATTCTTCATGTCAATGTCATCTCTAAACGTAACATCTTTGGTGATTTCTCTCCCCCCACCCTGTTTAAGTATTACGGAATGTGTCAGGTTGCAGTTATTTCTAAGAAAGCTGAAATTCAGACTTCCAGTTTTCCACTGTTGTTACCGTTTTTTCTGCATTTATGGAGCAGAAGACCAGTATTTTGTCAGCTGACCTAGGCATTCCTATATAAACCTTAGATAACCAGGTCTTTGGTGGGGAGCTGTATTAGCAAGAGCTGTTCTTCTGACACACTGTAGTTCCCAGAGTTATCTTCCCTCGATATTCTGAGTTCTTCGTACACCTTGCGCTCTTCCCAAGATAAAATCCTGAGTCACAGATTTGTCTTGATCTGTACCTTGGTGGTATAACACATATTTGTCCAGCAGCCTGGTGATAACTTAAACATCTTTTGAATCGCTCGAGTGTAAAGTAATTCTAAAGCATGTACTAATCAAAGTAATGTGTTGCCATGAATTTACTCGCAAAAAAAAACCTTCTGTAAATCCATTCAACCCTTTTCAGCTTCTGAACTGTTATTTCCAACTCTAGCAGGCACAAATATAACAGCTCTCTTCAAGAGAGATCTAAAGACTAATGTAAGCACAACCCTGCTGGGAAAGAAGAGGCTTCTCATTGTAATTTGAAACGGGTATAGCAAAAAAGTCCTTAACCCTTCTCTTGCCAGACGCAGCTTTAAACCTCCCCCTCCCTCCCCAGTTTACAGTACTATATCTAATTTTGGCTATCGGCTGGTTTTTTTCCCTTAACAGCTTGCAGAATCAATTTTAAGTTTAAAAATTTTAGGATATATAGATAGCTAAAGGCATGGCGTAATGTGGAAGCTCTTGTGAGTCTCCTTATGAGTCTATGGTTTAGTAAACTTGAATAGGAAACTCTCATAACAGACTAAAATAGCATCTCATTAATTCAAGAAATGTTTATCTTTTAGGTAAGTTTAGCAAACAAAGATGACCTTTTTAATAAACTTTGTAGGAAATGTTGTTGGTGAGGCTTGATTCACTCTT